GTGAATGATTGGAAATGCTCCGGTGACTGAATTTTCTCCTGCCATGCCACTGTCAGGGCATAGGAAGCCTGTAGGATTAAACAGAGAGAAGGAAAAAACAAAGCACAATTCTACTTTTCCTAAAGGGTAGGGGGAACACCACTCCAGACACTGCTTCCTTGCAATAGTATCCATAGCAAAAGAGAAAGATGCTTTGGCCCTGTTAGGAATATATCCATAACACAGGGCAGGATGCATGGTGTATAAAGAACTTTGCAATGCTAATTTTCCAAGGGTATATTTGCAGCTCCTGTTCAGATTATCATTGGCAACACCAGTACTCTGTTTGATCCATACTGCCTCAAGTAATATGGCTGGTGAATGCAGCTTTGTAAAAACTGTGGGCTGAATGTGTGCAGTTCTGCACATTTCTTCACAAAATAAACTTTGCTGATCTCAATGGGACTTGCCAGGAAAGTGTGTATAGGACTGCAGCAGGTTGGTTACACTTGAGTTCCATTGATTTTAGTAGGAACTAAGTCATGACTAACTTTCCCCATTGATTTCAAGGGAACCAATACACTGTCTTCAACACATGCAGTAGGATCAGAGCCAGACAGTTCATAGATCAAAATCCCAATGTCTTCAGAAGAAGATGAAGTGTATACTCCCTCTCTGCACAATCTGTGCTAGTAAAGACCTTCTCTATTTAGTCCTAAGCTTCTTTCCAGAAGCAAATATAGTCTCAAATCCCTGACAATTTCTCTTACTCTTTTTAAAGTGTTGAACATTGTTTGCCCAAGAGTCTGAAGGTTAAAGAATTTCCAGATCCACTACGATTCTCTTCCAAGAGTAATGGGATCAAGAAAAGACCTATCATGAAATGTGCTTCAAGGGAAATATTGTTTTAAACAAAGAATGAAGCTTTGCTAGAACAGAATATAAAATCTATTTAGGAATAAAAATAAGAAACATTAAAAAATAATCCCAAAAGATTGTATCAAACAAAATCAAGGTAGGAGTACAAAAATGTCCAATGAAACAGTCATCAATTCTCCTCTTTTTCCATAATTTGCCACAGGCTCTGTTGCTGTGGGTTGCAGAAGGCTACAGAAGAAAATTAAGAAAGCTGAATTAAATAATATTAATAATTATGTCATTGATCATTCACCTCCAATGTGAATAGGAAATGTAGAGCAGGGTGGAAAACTTCATACATGTCATGTAATTGACTAAGCAACATACCTAGTTTCATTTATTTATTTTTTTAAAAATCACAAATTATAATTCTAGTTCTATTTATTTCATTGAAAGAAGAAAGCCACCTGCCTCCTTCATTTATTTGTTTGGGTATTTGTTTTGTCAGCTTCTGGGCGGGGGGAGGCTTCCTTCTCAGAGACTCTGTGGGATATAATATAAATTAAACACAGAAAAGGTCAAAAACTTGTTTTCAAACTTTTCTTGAGTACAATTAGCGTAATATTTTAACAGCTGGCAGCTGCAGTAATTACTTTTAGATTATACATGGAAATCTGTTGAAATATAATTAGTCTGATCTATGAACCAGGTAATTATAGTAAACACTCCCACATTTTCTTAGACCTCATTAACTTATTTCCTTTTAAAATTGCTAGATAATGACAGTACATTAGAAGTTTATCCATAAAATGACACTGAATAATTGGAACCCATGTCCTGGGACATTAAAGGACAAAGTAGCACTTCAGTGTTCAGTGTCCTGATGCATTTTAAAGTACCAATGCTCATTTTAAAGTACCAATGCTCATATCAGCAAATAGTGTGTGACTTTGAGAGAGAATGGACACATCAAAGCAGAAACAAGGTGTGAGGGGACAATATGGTTCGTCCCCAATCTCAGCTTGCTCCTAAGAGCCAACTAAAATATTGATATAATGCAAAATGAATGTCTTAATACCCATAAGATCTATTTACGTAAGTATGTCATTACAGCATAGCCACCATGGGAATATGGTTGAAGAGTGATATTAAAATACCTCTTTTTACCTAGCTGCCTATTTAATGATAGAATCTTCTAGGAATGTACAAGAGCTGCCCAAATATTATTTTCATGGAGAAAACATTTTGGTTTCTGCATATAATACAGGAAGACTCAAAGTACATGTTGTATATTATACATGTCACCAGGGCAGGCAGAGGAAGAAATGTGAGACAATGGTATCTTTATTGCCTGGAGCCCCCCGTTCCTTCCCATGGCAGCGTGGGGCTTTTGAAAGATCTCCAACAATTATGGTGAATGGATTTGTGTGACATTGCAAGTTGCCTAGCTTTTGGGTTTGAACTGTTGGTGACAACTAATTGACATTTCTTTAAAGTCTTCCAGAACAGGAAAGTTCTCATAAAAGAAAGCTATCCACTTCCTAAAAACTTTTCCCCCCTGAAATAATATGACAGCAGATCCAAACCTTTAAGAAGGCTGCTGTGCCTTTGAACTACATGGAGGGTTGAAATTCTACTAGATGTGACTTTTCATATTCCTGTAGCATGGTGATGGGGCCACATGGTGCCATTTTCCTTTTTGTGTCTTTGATAGTCACAGGAGCTCTGTCAGGAGATGGGCTTAGCATTGTCGCCTTTCCTATAGACAACGGCACTGCACGTAGAATAGTAATGTGACCGATATAAAACAACAGGTGGATATTTGCCCATCACTGCATTTTCACTGTCAGGAAAAGCTTCACCTGTCAAAACTTAGCACATAATGAGCAAAAAAGCAATGAGTGAAGATGTTGTACTGCGGGTGTAAACAGGCACAGGATGAAGGAAGTAACCTGAGTGCTGACTACATATGCAGTGGCGTAGCGTGGGTTGTCAGCACCCGGGGCAAGGCAAGTAATTTGTGCCCCCTAACCCGGTAGGGGCAGAGAGCTGCGAGTGCGAGCGCGCCCCCCCCCCAGATGTTGCGCCCGGTGCGGCCTGCACCCCCCACACTACGCCACTGTACATATGGACCTGGCATCCTCATGTGATACAACTGCAGGGCTTTCAAAGCCTCCTGGCAGGGCTCCTGTGTTTAAGGGAAATGGTGCGATGGGAAATCAGCAAGTTCAAACTTTCTCAGCACTAAGGCATATAACGGGCTTTACTTGTTAAATTTTGTGGAGTCGTTGAAGACAGAAAAAGGTGACGCTAATTCTACTGGCAGGACAGTCCATGTGTGTGGTGTGGTGTCCATGAGAAGAAAGTTGAATGTTCTAGAAAGCAAAAGAGCTGCTGGTCTTTTAATCTCTATTGTTTCAGTTGTGCTTCCCCACCACCACCCATGGATTATTGAGGGTTTGGGTTTTTTTAACTATGAACTGTAAGCTACTCTGGGCATTTCATTTGGCTACATACACATCATACATTTGAAGCACACATCCCCAAGGGATTCTGAGAACTGCAGCTCTTTAAAGACAGTTCCCAGGAGACATCTCCTTGTTTTGCAGAGGATGTGTTTCAAATGTTTGGCGTGTACACAGCCTTTGCCTAGGGCAAGCTTCCTCAAACTCTGCCCTCCAGATGTTTTTGGCCTACAGCTCCCATGATCCCTAGCTAGCAGGGCCAGTGGTCAGGGATGATGGGAATTGTAGTCTGAAAACATCTGGAGGGCCGAGTTGAGGAAGCCTGGTCTAGGCAAAAGGCCTTAACTAATCTAATCTAATCTAATGATTAGAAGTGATAAATTCATTGTGGGCCTTTTAATCCCAGACAGACTTATAATACCACCATTGTTGTTTTTTAAAGAAGATAACTCGCTTCTTCTTCTTCTTTCTCTTCTTTGGCAATTGTAACTGAGATTGTCTTCCATAAACACGGTTTTCACAATGAGTCCGTAAGTAACTGTAGAGGCCAGTTCTGGACCCACACGTCCTTCCACAGTGGGGACATTGGTTCCCGGGTGGGAGTTGATCATTGCTGGGATATGAATTGCCAACCTTCTGATCGGCAAGCCCTAGGCTCTGTGGTTTAGACCAGTGTTTCCCAACCTTGGGCCTCCAGCTGTTTTTGGACTACAACTCCCATCATCCCTAGCTAGCAAGACCAGTGGTCAGGGATGATGGGAATTGTAGTTCAAAAACAGCTGGAGGCCCAAGGTTGGGAAACACTGGTTTAGACCACAGCGCCACCCGCGTCCCTTTTAAATAATAACAACATATCAAATTTGGGCACCAAAACATATAACCAATCTATTTTGGAATAAACTGAACTAGTTTAGGTTTATGAGTCCAGTTCCAAGGCATGACTAGTTCAACCCCTCACTAATTTAATTCTTAGGTGTTCTCTCAACTAGATATATTTTATTTTGCTTCAGTAAAAGCCTCTAAGAAGCAGAATTCTCAATAATCCTCGAGAAAGCTGTTTTGCAGAGCACTGCTAATTAGTACCACAAGATGGTGCTGTGTGACACATTTTTACAGCTGATAGGGGCAAGCAGCCCATGCATCATTTTATAAGCACATTGGGTCTAAAATGCTTTCGTGCTTCACAGCTCCCCCCATCCCGCCTCTCCAAATGTTGTGTTAACCTTGTATTCTTTTTTTATTTATTTAAGTGAATTCAGAAGTTAATATTTATCTAACAAGATTAAGATGCTGCCTGGTTATAATCAAAACCCCGAGCAGTTTGTACTCTCCCAAGGCTACACTCTTCACTTTGTTACACAAATGTTTTTGCCAGGCTGGAATGCTTCCATGAACTCTTGCTTGTCTGAATGGAGAATAGAGAGGGGTGTGTGAGTGTACTTCAAAACTAGCCTATTGTAGAAATGTAATGTTACATTTGCTGCTTCATACACTTTTGACCTTTCAAACCATAAGGAAGGTTGGGGGAGAGGTGTGTTTTGCAGTTCCTTGATAAAGACAAATCAGGTTTCATTTTCAGCTTCATTTTATTTATTTATGGCAGGCTTCCTCAAACTCAGCCCTCCAGGTGTTTTGAGACTACAATTCCCATCATCCCTGACCACTCGCCTTGCTAGCTAGGGATCATGGGAGTTGTAGGCCAAAAACATCTGGAGGGCCGAGTTTGAGGAAGCCTGGTTTATGGCATTTAAGAAGTCACTGTGTATAGGTCTACTCAGAATGAAGTGCCAGGTAAGTGTAAATAGGGTTGCAACCTTAATCCCATATAGATAAGCCTAAGACTGGTGAATTGCTAAGAAATTCATTCAACTAGCAAATGTTGATTCACTACTAAGCAGATAATTAAAGGAATTATCCCCGCCCCCTTTGTTGAGCTGTGTGTTTCCAGAGACAAGTTTCTCTAAATCACACTTTCAATAAGATTGCGGCCAATTTCTCTTCCTCCTTCGGTAGCCATGGCAGCCTTCCAAATTAGCAGCAAAAGGTTTCCTGTAAAAGAAAGGTTTTATTTATTTATGTGAGGATTTATCTTCTGCTTTCCAGTTCAACAAATTGTTAAGAGAGCTAATTTTATTGTGTGCTGTTATATTCTAATAGATTGTTGAATATTACATTATTTTGTTTGTTTTAAAGTTATGCTTTTATTATGACTTTTTGTATTGGATCAGATTGTTATAAGGTGCATGATCTTTGTTGTACATTTTGTTGTTTCTTCAGCTTGTAAACTGCATTGTGTATAGTCAGTGCTTTTTTTCTAAAAATGTTTAGGGGTACTCTCATATTGAAAAACTGCCCCCTCAATGAGGCCAAACTTAGATCCACAAAATGTTTAGGGGTATGCATACCCCTGCGCCCCCCTCCCCGAAAAAAAAACACTGTGTATAGTTAAGATAGAAAGGTGGTATACAATTTAAAAGTTTAATGAAATGAAATGTTTATGCAGGCATTGAATGGCTGGAAGATACTGGTCCTGGATCATGCTGTTTGTTTGTTTGTTCATCCATAGCACTCAAGTATCTTCCCATCCTATTATATTTTGCTTTCGATCTGAGATGGAAGGCTTTGAGCTATCTATCAGGTAGGTTTTTCAGGAACCTTGCAGATCAGAGTTCAAATCCCTCCTCAGCCATGACATAAACTAGGTTAGTCATCGTGTCTCAGCCTAATCTGCTTTACTCACTGAAGGAAAAGTGGATATGAGTGTAAAAATAAAATAAATATAAAAAGCAAAAAGTTGCTTTTTTTCTCATTAATGCCACAAGATGGTGCCATGCAACACCAATTTTATAGCTATCTGAACAGCTGTGTGGAGAAGTGGAGCAAAAGACCATTATAAAGCAGAAAAAGCATGCAACCTCAGCTTGGTATTTCCCTCTAAAAATGAATCACCTCCTTTACAGGTTTCCCTTCTTCTGTGTCATTTATTTTTGGGAATAGAATGAAGTTTATTTTTGGCTTCCAGTCCTGCCTGCCTTAATGGAGGCAGCCCCCACAACAGCGGGGGATTGTTGGCAAATGAAAAACAAGGATAACAGAGGATAAACCATCCTTGCAAATTCCTGCCAGGGACAGGGGAAATGGGCTTTACTCACAGTTTGTCTCGGTACCTGGCTCTTGCTTGGGCATGGGAGGCAGGGAGGCGCTGAGTGCAAAAGCACCTCACCTGGTGAAAACCCTCCTACACCGCCATTAAGAAGCAGAGGTTCACTGTTTAACTAGATCTTTAATTGACTTTAAAGAACCGGCGTGTGATGGGAAAGGGTTGCAACAACATCTGCCAGACACTGAAGGCAGGAGGAAGAAACTGCACGCAGAAGAAAAACCGGAGGCAACCCTAGTATTTATGTTACATGAACATATACAACTGCGTGTATATGTGTGGTGCTGGGAAATAAATATTTTGATTCAACCTCGAAAATGGTAAGAGAAAGCTGGAGAGTCTTCATGGCTCATGAGGAGACCCTCCCTAGAGCCTGAAGAGGATGTTGGTGAGGGCATAGACTGGAGGCGCAGTGGGCTTTGTTTGGGCTGCTCAGCCTCCCTGCCTAACAGCTGATGTGTGGGGTAGCGCAGAAGCAGCTACCACTTTCCTGTGCATCCTCCAGCCTCCTACCGGCCCCAGAGCTTCAATTCTAGTTGTGTACTGTGTGGTTGTCCAAACGCCTACCTGTTTTCTCATTGGTTCTACTCAGAGCACCAAGTAGAAACAGCACTTTATTCTGCTCAGGTGTGAAGTCTGCAATGAAAGGGGCTTTCTCTCCTTCCAAAAGCATTCTTGGCGGTAAGCCAGTCTGCAAACGATTGGTGGTCTCCTGGTCTGTATGGAAATGTGTAGCTGCAATGAAATCAACAGTAGCCGCCCAGTCCTCCCCAAAATTGCTTTCAGGACCACTAAGGTATGGCAATCTGAAATGTAAAGCAAGAAGAAGAAAGTGAGGTAATCAGTTTAAACTCCGTTGTTGTTGTTGTTGTTGTTTGTTTGTTGTTGTTTGTTGTTGTTGTTGTTACTATTGTTGTTGTTATACTGTATATTTTGGAAGCTGTTTGTTCACTATGCACGCGGACACCTCTTAAGATATTGTAACCAATTTTCATAATGGTTCCTGAGATCAAGGAGTAGGCTTTTGTCCATGTTTGGATACAAGCGGGCATCATTTTGAATCAATACACAGGACAGACTTTCAAAACTGCATTGATTTTAACCCCTGATTTCAGAACAGCACTGTTGTTGTTTCAGCAGTCCTGAGCAATGCCAGGTATGAGGCTGCTGTTATTTGCCACAATTTGCTGCTTCATAAAAAAAATCTCAAACACCACAAAATACAAAAAAAGCTAAAATCAATTAAAAACAAGGTAATGAAAAGAAAAACACGATATAGTGAACAAAATTCCTTCAGTGCCAATTATTAATGCTAAAGAAAGGACAGATTGTAGCCCACCCCACTAAAATATTCATTCTGCTATCAACAGGTTAAATAGCTTCTAAGGTGATCTAAGTAAGAATAGATTTTCGGATTTTGATTAATTAATTGCACATTACCAGGAGTTGCATCACTCTCTGACAACACATCGTCCTGTTGGAAGGACTTATTTATTTATTAAGAGACTTTTCTTCCCAAAGAGACACAGAATTCAAAAACATTCAAGAATACATACACAATCAAACACAAATTAGAAGCTTAGGGCAAATATACAGGATAAAATGTATAACATAACAGCCAGCAGTCAGCCCTAGGTTGATGCACTCCTCAAGCTATATCCTGAATAAACATAAATGTTTTAAATTGACTTTTTAAAACCATCAGGGAGGGGAACAACTAAATTTCCCCAGGGTGGAAGTGCTACATGTAAGGCACGACCACAAAATAGGCCCTGGCACATGGATTAGTAATGACTAGTGCTTTTCGTGATGATATTCACAGGTATGGAGTATTGGCACCTGTGGTTCCCCCCACCCCACCCATGGCAGTTATTTTGTGCTGGCACCCACAGCACCTATATCAAAATAAGATTACAGGTATCTTTCCTTCTTTCCAAAACAGCACTGCATATGACTGCTGGAAAACAAAGATTGTTTCTCACACCTGTAAGTGACCCGTGAGTGTACATCATAGGGAACCTGCAAAAAACCTTTTGTATCTCTGGTAGTTTTCTCTTACCGGTTTTTAAACTTTCGCCTTCCATAAGCCAGGCTATGAACGTGAGCTTTCCACATGTAGTTCAGTGCTGCTTCTTGTGCTTCAGGCACTTCAGAGCTCAGTGCAGTGGATGAGAGATACTGGAAGAGAAGATGCCATACGCACGCACAAACACACACAAACACTCCATTAGGATAATAATAATAATAATAATAATAATAATAATAATAATAATAATAAAACAACTTATTTATTTATTTATACCCCGTCCATCTGGCTGGGTTTTGCCAACCACTCTGGGCGACTCCCAGCAGAATATTAAAAATACAATAAAACATCAAACATTAAAAACTTCCCTAAACAGGGCTGCCTTCAGATGTCTTCTAAAAGTCAGATATTTGTTTATTTCCTTGACATCTGATGGGAGGGCGTTCCACAGGGCAGGCGCCATTATCGAGAAGGCCCTCTTCCTGGTTCCCTGTAACCTCACTTCTTGCAGTGAGAGAACCGCCAGAAGGCCCTCGTTGCTGGACCTCAGTGTCCAGGCTGAATGATGGGGGTGGAGACGCTCCTTCAGGTATACTGTGCCGAGGCTGTTTAGGGTTTAAAGATCAGCACCAACACGTTGAATTGTGCTCGGAAATGTACTGGGAGCCAATGTAGGTCTTTCAGGACCAGTGTTACATGGTCTTGGAGGCCGCTCCCAGTCACCAGTCTAGCTGCCGCATTCTGGATTAGTTGTAGTTTCTGGGTCACCTTCCAAAGTAGCCCCAAAAAAGTGAATGGGGGAGGGGATGGAACAGCATCTATTTTTTCATGCAGAAGGTCCCAGGTCAAATCCCTGGCATCACCAGATGGGGAGGGGATGCCCTGTGTTCAAAATCCTGGTGAACCACGGCCAGTCAATGACAACAATACTGAGCTAGATGAAGTGTCTGACTATAAGGCAGGCTTCCTCAAACTCAGCCCTCCAGATGTTTTGAGACTACAATTCCCATCATCCCTGACCACTGGTCCTGCTAGCTAGGGATCATGGGAGTTGTAGGCCAAAAACATCTGGAGGGCCGAGTTTGAGGAAGCCTGCTATAAGGCATCTTCCTGTATCCTAAAAGGCAGCAGTCTGATTGGTCCTAGAACAATAGGATTCAGAATGCAGCAGTCTGATTGGTCCTAGAACAATGCAGCAGTATGATTGGTTGGCAGGAACTACCCAGTCATGCTCCAGATAGAAGTGAATTCACAACCTGATTGGCTTACAGTAGAATTCCAGAATTAGCCAATCATGTGCAGCCCATTGTGTAAATAATGTATATAAAGCAGATACTTTGAGGGGACATTCATTCATTCCTCCTCACCACTATGAGCTGAATAAAGAGCATGAAATCACTTTGCAACTCTGAGTATATTTCAAGTACCTTGAAGAAATCTCTCCAGCCAGCCATGGCTTTTGGTGCCTGGGCATTGCATTCTGCAACACTGTGACAGAAGTCAGCTCTTTTCTCATCCGGTGGTAGTATTTCTACCTTGTCTGCCAAGTCTCCAAAAATGCCACTTTCCAGTGCTCCCAGAAAGGGTACAATTGCTAGGTAGTAATTCATACCTGCAGTAATGGACAGCAGCAATATTGGTTTAGCAGAACATCTGGTGATATGGGAAAACATTCAAATTATTGGAAGTTCTGGTAAATGGAAGGCACACTTCCATGCAGCATCAGGCAAAACTTAAGACATCAATTACACGATTTAACAACTGGGTGAATGGCTTTTTAAAAAGTAAACTAGGCCACCTGAGCTTGCTATTTACATGACTGGGAGTCCCCCCCCCCAAAAAAAAATGCAATTAGCACGTCTCCTAATCTGGATTAGTTGTATAGCAGGCAGCAAAGGCATAAAGCACATCTCCTCCCAGGACTGGCCTAGGGCATTTGGCTGCTTTAGACAAAGCAGAAAACGCCATCCCTCACTATCTCCTCTGCCACAGCGCCCCCTGCTGCTGCTACCTCTTCCTCTGCAGCCCCTCTTGCTAAAGTTGGCAGGGGAGTAAAAACGGGCAGTCGTGGTGGGGAGCAGCATGCTTTTCAGAGGCGGGATCTACCGTCTGTGGTGACTGTCTTACGTCACCTCATGGGCTTTGTCTACTCCTGGGCAAGGTTTTCAATCTGAATTGGGTCCTGACTTCTGCAATATATTTAAAATAAGGAATTCATGCAGCTGCTACTTGTATGAATCGAGTTTGGCCTTCAGTCCCAATTTGTTCAATGGTCTAACTCCCAAATATGTGGTTCTGGGATTGCAGCCACAGGATTTCAGAGGCAGGAGGCCTCATTCACCAATGCAGTGCTTTTTTTCTGGGTTACGCAGGGGTACGCATACCCCTAAACATTTTGTGAATCTAAGTTTGGCCTCATTGAGGGGCAGTATTTCAATATGAGTAGGAAAATGAGAGGACCCCTAAACATTATTATTTTTTGAAAAAAAGCACTGGATAAATGTATCAGTAACACAGAGATAATAAATACTATAAGCAATAAAGGTCCAATCCATGCTCTGCACATTTAGGCCCTACAAATTACTGTGTGGGTAGGACTCTGGTATTATGAAAATCTTCATGGATGAAAATACCTACACGCCCACCAGCTGCGCTCTGATATGCACAGATTATCTCCATCTTTCTTGCCGCATCTTGTGATGTTGGTTGGATCTTCTAGTCTGCCTAGAAGAAAATCAAGTACAGTATTACATAACATTTAATGATGTTTACATCCTACCACAAACATTTTAATGACTGGGTGAGTTGTGACGATTGCTACGAGGTAGGCAAAACCACCAGGCTGGAGCCAATTGGCCTGGTGGACAAACTCCTACCCGATCCCAAAAGATGTCAACCGCCACAGCAAGGTTTTATATATGCCACCATTTCCCAGTTTGTTGCTCTCCAGGTATTCTTGAACAGCGACTCCCATCATCTCTGACAGATGGCCGTGTTGGCTGAGGCTGATGGGAGTTGGCCCAAAACATATGGAAAGGCTTGCATAAGCCATTGTTACTGTAGCCAGCTGAAAACGAGGGCAGTGTAGAAGAGGGAATTTCATCAGGTGCAGCTTATCAACTGCAGCTGCTGAAATTCCCTGCTCAAGGCAACAGGAGTCATGTCCTCATTTCCACCCAGCCACCATATCGAAAGCCTACAAAAAAATCAATCGTAATAACTTTTAACTTTTGCCACACCTAACAGTTCTCTGCAAATACACCTTACATTTCATATCTACTCAGAAATAAGTTTGGCTGAGTTCTGCCAGGTTTAGCCACAGGTAGGTGGTTATAGCATTGCAACTGTAGGCCCACTGTGAAATTTTTGAGATTTTTTTGGGCAGGGTGTGTGTAATGACCATAGGAACATTTGCAAGGGAGATTCAACTGAGTTGGACAGGGTTAAACATTCTTCTCATGTGTCTCATTGTCCCTGCAAATGATCACTACCCAGGTACAGTAGTACCTCGGGTTACATACGCTTCAGGTTACAGGCTCCGCTAACCCAGAAATAGTCCCTCGGGTTAAGAACTTTGCTTCAGGATGAGAACAGAAATTGTGCTCCAGCAGTGCGGCAGCAGCAGGAGGCCCCATTAGCTGAAGTGGTGCTTCAGGTTAAGAACAGTTTCAGGTTAAGAACAGACCTCCAGAACGAATTATGTACTTAACCCGAGGTACCACTGTACATGGAAAATATGAGAACAGGCAGTGTTTATTTCTAGTGACACTCAGTGATGCAGAGTATCCCCACCCCCTTTTTAAAAGAGCCACATCACATACCCATCACTTTATGCAAGGACTTAGTGGAGCTTGCTACTGAATAAGCATGTGTAGCATTGTACTGTTAATTCAGTGGTACCTCGAGTTATGTACTTAATTTGTTCCAGAGGTCCGTACTTAACCTGAAACTGTTCTTAACCTGAAGTACTTTAGCTAATGGGGCCTCCTGCTACCGCCGTGCCCCCAGAGCACAATTTCTGTTCTCATCCTGAAGTAAAGTTCTTAACCTGAAGCACTATTTCTGGGTTAGCGGAGTCTGTAACTTGAAGCATATGTAACCTGAAGCGTATGTAACCTGAGGTACCACTGTACATGTAAGGTGGAAATGGAAAGGAAATATGTGCTACAGAAAAGATGTATTCCTTGCTTGGGCTGCAGAACAAATTTTGTGGGAAAACTGTTAAGAATTGGGATGATAATAATGAGCAGGAAGTGGGCGGCAGTGCTGTGACTCTGAGATATGAGCAGCCTGCTTTGGTTATGCCTGTAGTTGGAGGATCTTTTTCCAACATTTTCTAGGCTATCCTCAATAAAGTGAGGTGAGCTAAGCTAATTGGCCCTTTCGTCTGTATATATAGAAGGCACCCACTTCCCTATTGTGTCCATACGTACGATGTCTGAGCACTGGACCTCATTTTTTTACAAACAAAAAGCAGTGAGGCTAAGAAGAACGCCATTTTTGCATTGTAGAGCTTAGCAAAAAGCGCTGAAATACATTTTCAAAGTCACAAGTTTCAACCTATTTCTCCTGCCATTTGAACCAAGAAGAGAGAGCACATTCCTAACAGTTTAGATTGTAAGGCAATTTGTTCATACCTGTAGAGTATTGCCAGCCATGCTGTAAGGCCAGTCCCCATAGGATATTTTTGTTCGAAATGTATTGCACACCATGCTGCTGGGGCAATCTTCCTGGGACATTGCTGTCAGCATCATTTGGTCCAGGAGGAGTGAAAAAGTTAGATGTGGCTTTAAGCAAGATTTTGTATAGTCCTAATCTCTGCGGGTAGCTCCACGGGTTGATTAATATGTTGTTGCCATTTACTGGGTATTCATCTAAATTTCCAGGTGCAGAATGCCATAGCGGAGGAACAGCATCACTGTAGCTTTCTGGCTCTTCAGCTAATTTTTCTGTGAGTTCTAGGCTGAGTGAAGAAGTAGCAAAAAGGAAGATGAAGAGATGCCAAAAAAAAATTCTCAGGAAAAGGCACCCCATGCTGGACAAGACCATTCTGTTTCTTGGCTTCAGAATGCATGAAAGTTGTTTTAAAAAGGGAGGAGCAAGTTAGAATGTGAAATGTACACCCTATGTAAATCAGAAATAAGTCACTCCTCCTGCCTCTCCTCTCGGCTTCCTCCTCCCCAGCATGCAGGACAAATATACATATTGCAGGGCATTACAATTTCATCTTGTTCACTTGGATATGTGCTCTGCTTAGCAAAAAAACAACAGCTCCAGGAATGGTGGCAACCAGTTTAACCAGTCTGCTATTTAAGTGCAGATAATTGAAGTGCAGATGATTGTGCGAAGTGTATTCACACAATTCTGTTCTGGTTTCTTTTCTTTTCTTTCTCTTTTAACAGACTCTTCTCATCTGTAACCCCCAGTTGCTGCCCCCTTATACTAATTCACCCTGGGTGGGATCCTACCATGGTCCTTGTTCTGCCACCCCAACCAACCTCTGTAGCCAATCCAGAAGGCCTGAACAGAGATCTATCCAGACATCTTTGCCACTTCCTGACAGATGAACTCCATATGGATGAAACAAGTTCACATGCTCAAATCTGATCAGGGCTTAATTAATTCTTATTCTTATTCTAATTCTAATTCTATTATTATTATATTATTTCTACCCCACCCATCTGATGAATTACCAAGCCACCCTGAGCAAGCACAAAAAGTTAACTTTTTGTGGCCACATCTACCTTCCAAGGGTTCTGAGTTCCCCTCCAACGGCAGTGCTGCAACCACAATGACCAGGCAATGCACACCTTAGGGTGGCTATCATCCCTTTGTCCCATCAAACATACATATGGAATCCCTTTATAACTAAAAAGAGGTTATAGTGGTATTATTTATATTCCTATATAACTAATAACAGAACATCCAAATTTATTTAGTGCCTGCCCAGTCAACCTCTACCCCCTCTCCTTTGTGTAAATGTGTGGATTCAAAGTATTATGATAGGAAGGAGAATTTAAAAAATGAAAAAAGTTTTCCCCTCAGATGTGATTTTTTAAAAAAGTTTGAAGCTGTATTCTTAAACATGCTTTAAAAACAGTTTGTTTTCCGCCCTCAGCCCAAGCCCGCCCACAACCTATGGTTTGTTTGGTGTTAGAGGTGGGTCTTAAGATCCTCAAAATAAAATCTGAACAAAATTGGTGAAGGAGCAAAGAGTTTATTGATTACAAAATGTTCTTGCAAGAGCTGGTGTCCAAAGTAGGCACACCCCAAATTGACAAAGCACAAGCTTATATTCCCTCCCTTGTCTCCTCATTAGCTGGGTACTACAAGGTTTGCAGCCTACCATGACCGCCTAATTACCCAGCTAACATTCCCGCCCCTGTTTACATCTCCCATTACTCTGATTTCAACACCCACCCTTCTTGTTTATCCTATTCCCTATTTGATCTGTTGTTCCTATGCATTTACATACTGACGCAAGCAACATCCTGACCACTAGTTGTCCCAGTTACAGGTGTAAGCGAGTACTGTACCTGCTGAAGCCTATGAATAAACCATACTCCAGCCGCAAGCTGTCCTACTTATGAGCATCCTAACCACAAGCTGTTCTAACAATGTTGTTGTTGTTGTTTAGTCATTTAGTCGTGTCCAACTCTTCGTGACCCCATGGACCAGAGCACGCCAGGCACTCCTGTCTTCCACTCCCTCCCGCAGTTTGGTCAGACTCATGCTGGTAGCTTCGAGAACACTGTCCAACCATCTCGTCCTCTGTCGTCCCCTTCTCCTTGTGCCCTCCATCTTTCCCAACATCAGGGTCTTTTCCAGGGAGTCTTCTCTTCTCATGAGGTGGCCAAAGTACTGGAGCCTCAGCTTCAGGATCTGTCCTTCCAGTGAGCACTCAGGGCTGATTTCCTTCAGAATGGATAAGTCTGATCTTCTTGCAGTCCATGGGACTCTCAAGAGTCTCCTCCAGCACCATAATTCAAAAGCATCAATTCTTCGGCGATCAGCCGTCTAAGGTTGTCTAGCAATTGCAGGATTGTGGATTATGTGAAAAAGCAACATGATCATTTCTCACATTTGGGATTGCCTTTTTCTAGTTTTTTACTAAACTGTTAGCTTCATCAGTCATCACACATGTATAGAAGATGCTTGCTTAAATTAAAATTCCTAGCTTTTAATGCTGGTGACTGCTAGTTACTACACATGCATGTGTACTTTGGCCTAATTTATTTTCCTGACACGTTACTCAAAAGCCCTTTTAAAAATTCTTATTTTCTGAAAAACTAACCAACCTTGGCTCCTCTTTATTAACTGTGTGATTAAAGCAGTGTGGGAAAGTTATCTTGTTTACAAGGTCACAAAGGAGAATTAAACAGAAGCGAGGAAATAATCTCATTTTATACAGTTGCAACCCATTCTGTTTATGCCTTTAAAAATACAGGTGTGCCAACCTAGTTTTGCGGTCAGAACTAGAGCTTCTTCAAGCAGTTTATGTGGACAAGACAAAGGAAAATATTTTTCATTGTCATCTTGCCCACAATGTTACTGAGGCAGCAAGTAACTTCCCACAGAAAAATCATTCTACATAGGCCTTAGCAGTGAAGGCCTCAAACAAATTCTGCCCCTTCCAGCAGTAGAGATGATAGAGCAATGACCACTAAGAGAAATCATAAAGCTGCCATGCATTTTTAATATCCTAAAACCTATTACATAGTGGACAGAATATTATAATAGAGTAAAAGAGACCTAATGGAAAAAATTACCAATAAAGAAACATCACTAGGTAGAATTAGTGCATGGCTTAGTTCAAGGTGGATCAATGGATTTCATTGTGAGAGTAGTATTTTAAATGAAATATTCTGATATTTCCTGCTCTCTGGAAAGACTAGCTTGGTGGCATCTGAGGAATTTTTACCCTATTTCCCTCAACGTTGTAAAATACAAAGCCCATTTAAGATAGCTTCTTTATGCAGGAGGGACTCTGTCCCACATTTTATCTTGTGAGTCGCCCTGAGATCTTTAGATGAAGGGCAGTATATAAATCTAATAAATAAAATAATAATAATTTAAACACACCAGATTTCAATCAGTTTTCAACCTAAGTAGGTCCATTAGGTGAAACTAAAACCTACAACACTGGTAGGAGACGTGGGCGGTGCTGTAGTCTAAACCACTGAGCCTCTTGGGCTTGCCAATCGGAAGGTCAGTGGTTCGAATCCCCACAACGGAGTGAGCTCCCGTTGCTCTGTCCCAGCTCCTGCCACCTAGCAGGAGTGGGAAGGTAAATGGTGTTTCCATGCACTCTGGTTTCTGTCACAGTGTCCCATTGCGCCAGAAGTGGTTTAGTCATGCTGGCCACATGACCCGGAAAGCTGTCTGCAGACAAACACCAGCTCCCTCAGCCTGAAAGTGAGATGAGTGCCGCAACCCCATAGTCGCCTTTGACTGGACTTAACCATCCAGGGGTCCTTTACCTTTACCTTTACCTTACATCACTGGCAGTGGTGATTCTTAATGTCATGTGTGAAAACAGTTCGAAATGAGAGATCTTAGTTCTAAATGATTTCTAGAGCTTTGGCTTTCTAAAATATTTTGAGGTGCATCCCCCCTCTCCGATTCATGTGGTTGATTATACTGGGTACTGGGATTTTAGAGATTGGTGCTAGAGCTAGACCAAGGCATCAAGATCTGGGATGGCTGAGAGTTCCTCTTCCTTAAATCAGTTATTGTTGCCAGTCTGATATACTGCAGTTATATTAAGTCCGTTTACATGGATCAGAAGTAGTGCCCAGAAGGAAAATACTAATTAGCTGATAAAATATTAATTCAGATAGCATTTTGCAAGGTGAGTGCAATGAAATACTCAACTGATGTTTTGTTCCAGTGCTGTAAACACATTTGGGTGATTACTGTGACTGCCTTTTGGCTTTTACACCAATACTGCTTTAAGGAGTTTGGGTGAAATGTATGGAAAAGGCATCCAATTTTCTACCCTCACAAGTACAATAGCTTCTCTTCTCTCTTTTTGTACACATGCACACACATTCTGGACTGCTTGGGAAGCAGTTTTTGTGTGAGTGAGTCTAGTTTCCATGGTTACCCTGGTAGCATGTCTCTCCATCAACAAGCCCTAACCTCTTAAGGGGGGACGGGCTGCATGGCTTTCATTTTCTCCCTTATATTATGGAGGGAGGAGAGAGCAGCTGAGAAAAGGGAAGAGTATTCCCCCTTCCACCTTTTGTAGAATGAGAGCTTCCTGCAATTACATGCTGCCATTCTTCAGTTTTACCTTCAGTTTGTTTATTTTTAAAGGAATGAACAGGGTACCCTCAAAAAGGCACAGAAGATTAATTCATCCCTGAATCTGTGATATGTTAATTTAATTTATTTCCATGCTTTGTTTTTACTGACAGTCTTTTTCAAGGTAGCTCTAAGCTTTTCACATGCAATTTTATTATGTGCTGTATGACATTTCCCTGATTTTCATTGCAAGCTGCTTCAAAATTGAAATGAAATTAGATAACAGCTTTTAAATCAATCAATTGATACATTCCCCTGCTTCATACAGAATTATACTGATGGTCAACCCCATTTAATCATGGCCAAAATCAAGCATGAGAACGACTGCTTCACCCCCACCCTACAAACACCCTCACTAGCATTAATCTTAGCACAGCAGGGCTGGAACATATCCTGTGCAAGTCCCATTTGAATGAATGGGAAGACATATCTTGCTGAAGCTAAACCGGTCTGGGTCTGGTCAGTGCCTTGATGGCTGACTGCCAGGAAGTCACACAGACACCACCTTGAGCTCCATAATCAAAGAAAGACAGGATATAAAAGTAAGAAAATTAAAATTGACATGCTTAAATCTGTCAAGCATGAAACTCACCCAAACAGAAAGAATTAGCCCATCTTTACAGATTCTGGGAATAATATATAAAGAGCCCAAATCTTTAGTGATTCATAAAGTGCAAAGTTAAGCACAGAAGCTTCTGAACCTTATATTTCTTGAGGTAAACTGAACA